TTCTTGGTCACAGATCAACCAAATAATTGGTCACAGACACTCTTCGTCCCATCTGCTCGTCGTCGCCACCTCCACCGCCACAACCACCCACCAACAATAACACCACCAACATCTACCACCCAAACTACCGCCGTCGCCGCCTACACAGCACCACCACAACAACTGCCATAATAATAAATCATTGGTCACAGACACGCCCAATCTCATCTCATCCCGCCACGACCACCCCACCGCCACGCACACAACAAAAATCACAATCACCACCAAATCCAACAAAACCACCATCTCAAATCCCCAAAAAAAATCCCCAAATCCATCGGCACAATTACAACCCAACATGATGGCTATGAATGCCGCTAGCAGTGTAAGCCAGATGGGTAATCTTCCAATAGGCGAAATGGGTAATTTATCAGCCGTCCCAGGCCTACCGGCTCTAATGAATGGTGGTAGAGCTGGTGCTGCCGGATACTTCCAAGGTGCTGGCCCCGAGATGATGGTCAGCAAGCCTCATTACCAACAACAATTGGCAGCAATGATGATGAACTAGCAACGTGCCAATGGGAACGAAACGTTTCAATGGGCCAAATGGGTAATTTATCAGCAGTCCCAGGCCTACCAGCTCCGATGAATGGTGGTGGAGCTGGTGCTGCAGGATACTTCCAAGGTGCTGGCCCCGAGATGATGCCGACAACCCTCATTACCAGCAACAATTGGCAGCAATGATGATGAACCAGCAACATGCCAATGGGAACGAGATGGGGGGAGGGAGGAGAAGAGACGGAAGGGGAAAGGGGGGAGGAGAAGAAAAATGATTAGAGTTTGGGAAATGAGATTGAAATTTGGTGGGGTAGGTGGTATGATGGATATATAGATTAATTTAATTTAAAAAATTATTATTAATATTAATTGTGAAATTAAAATCTGATTTTTGATTAACTAAAGTGTAAACTTGATTTTCAAAAACTTGAAACTAAACAACTGATTTTATGTAATTTTCCCAATAATCAATTTCACGCAAAATTAACCATATAAGTCAAATCGGAGCGCCTATAATAGCCGTGACATTGAGCGAACTATCCCAACGTTTAATTATCTCCAACGGTCAAAAATCTCAAAAATATATAAACATTTTCCGTAATAGACCCATACAAGTTCGTTCTTATCTCTATTAACTTTGATAATTACTCTACAAAAACAAATCAAGAACTCCCCAAGATTTCATCAATCAAATTCTTGTTTTTGTTTAACAGAAAATTCTTGAAATTGATTAGAGAGGCAAAAATGAGTGTTTTGCAATATAAAGAAGGCATGAATTCTGCTGATATTCAGATATGGAACAATGTCGCCTTTGATAATGAAGATCCTAAAGAATTTTCAGGGAATAAGGCTTCTTGGAGTCCTCTGAAGCCGATTTTGTTGAATTCGACAGAGTCGTTGAACTTGGATTCTTCGAGCAAAGAGAATGAGGGTCCTCTGTTTGAGAACCCAATTTCTTCTGTTACTCCTTCTCTCAGATCTGTGATTCCCTTCAAGCCAGTTAATTCGAATGGGGCTTTGGAGAATTCAAAAACTAGAGGAAATACGAAACAAAGTTTTGAAGAGAAAGTGGATTTGAAGAGTTTTGATGAGGAAATTGAGGAGATTGAGATGGAAATTAGAAGATTAACTTCAAGATTAGAGTCTTTGAAACTGGAAAAGTCTGAGAGAAGTGTGAAAATGGTGGAAAAGAGACGAAGAGTGATCCCTGCGAAGTTTATGGAACAGAAACAAAATGTTAATACTGCAGAAGAGAAGAAAGAGATTGAACAGTTTTCATTAATGACAGCAAGAACAGGGGTTCAGAGGAAGGGGTTTATTTTGGGGCCAGCAGATTTTGTTGCTGGGGAGCGAAGAGGAATGAGTATGGGGCCTTCTGAGATTATAGGATCGGTGAGATCCCGGAAATTGGGCAAGCAAGAAATGACCACCCCTGTTCCGCCTATACAGAGTAAGGTGCTTAGTTTGGGACCTGCAGAAATTGTTGCTGAAGCGGGAACGGGAATGAGCATTGGGCCTTCTGAGATATTTGGATCCGCGAAATCCCTGAAATTTGGCAAGCAACAAATGATCACCCCTGTTCAGCCTATACAAAGTAGGAGAAAATCTTGCTTCTGGAAGTTGCAAGATATTGATGAAGGGAAAGAGGTGAGTAAAGAAAGGGGGAAGAGTTCGAGTGTTAGCCCTGAATCAAGAAAAACTATGACAAAATCTCGGGTTTTATCAAGGCAGGCTGTTACTACAGTTGGATCCAAGAGGGCTGTGAAGAAAGAGGATCGAATGGTGAACTCAGTTCAGCCCAAGAAATTGTTCAAAGATGGTGAGAAGTCCATTCCCGCAAAGCCATTAAGGGCAGGGAGAGTTGTCGCGAGCCGGTATAATCAGAGCACAAATCCTGCCTCAGAAATAAGAAAGAGATCCTTGCCAGAGAACGGTAAGGCTGAGAATAGGGGTGATAAGAAGAGCTCGCTATCAGCCGGGAAATCACATGTAACTGTCATAGATAACAAGAACTTAGGTACTGAAAGTCGAGCAAAAAAGCGTTGGGAAATTCCGAATGAGGTTGTTGTTCATGGTAGTTTGGTGGAGGGTGAGCAGTCACCACAGTCGGCTACTATTGTTCTTGATTTGCTTCCAAGGATTAGGATTTCTCGGTGCACCAAAGACAGCCCCCGGGATTCTGGTCCTGCGAAAAGAGTGGTTGAATTGATTGGGAAGAAATCGTACTTTAGCAACGATGAGGAAGTGGAGCCATCCGTTTGTCAAGCCTTGCGCTTTGCAGAAGAAGAAACTGAAGAAAATTAAAGGGAACAACAATAGAAGAGGTTAAACTCATCCTTCAAATTCTCATACCCATACTACAGCACTGCTTTGCTTCTTCTTAAAGTGTTACTCTCAGATCTACCAGCAGCGGAGGTCATGTTTTGGTTCTTCTTAAGCCATCCGATGCTTTGGTTCTTTGTTTTCTTGTTATGGGATATCATGATTGGAATAAGCTTTTCGGTTTTTTACATGTAATAAACTCAGGCAAAGCATACTTGTTTACATGTAATAAACTCAGGGAAAGCATACTTGTGCTTTCCTTTACTATTTCAAGTGTTAATCAATTCATTCTGGTATAATTTTCTTCTTGCACTCTTCATGAAATTTGTTCATTTTTTCTTATTTAATGAATGTATGGGATAATGAAAATAAATCCTGATGAAAGTGCAACAATTGGTTTAGACATACATCACTTTCCCATTGAAATAGGACCTTTCTTGACTAGTGGATGCTTTTTGGATTGTAGAAGTGCTGTTTATAATCGAGTTCCCAGAAAGGAGATATAGGTATGGAATCTTCCTCTCTGTTTCACCCCTATTGAATTGCGCTGACGTGAGTGACGTTGAAATAAAAGTCATTTTCAGCCTTAATTATCCGATATTTTTCTTTTACGTCATCATAAGATACGTACCTCCTTCAGAGGTTGTATTCAAGAAAGTAAATAGCCTAATCTATGTTTACTTCTATGTTTTGGTTGAGTTGAGCTATAAGTATAGGGAATTTTTACCGAATTTTTACAGATTTTTGAAATCAACCGTGCAGATTCCAACTTTTGGACAGGATTGCTGTGACATTTCTGGGAAAATTCCCTATACTTGGGGAATTTTCCATTTTGGTTAATGTGGTTAGCGTTGAATTATTTTGGTTGAAAGACCAATTTTGTTAAAAGGAGTAGCTCAATCCCTTATAAGTTGATATATATTTCATTTTTATTCGGTGTGAGAGTTATCCCTTAACAAAGTTCACCAAAATAAGTCTGGGCATAATTCAACTCAATTGCATCTGCAAGGGCACCATAAGATTATGCAAGTGAGATAAATAATGTGCGAAGAACTAGCAATCAGATAGATGGATAGCAGATAGCTAGAATTAAAATTTCAGTAACGAAAGAGAGCAACTCGAGAATCACGGAAAAACGTTGCAAAAAAAAAAAATCAGACGAAACTTTCAGTGCTTCTTTCCTTAGCAGATTGTGTTTAATGCTAAATTTAACTTATTTTCTGTGATATAAGAATCAAGCTGTCTCGGATTTGACTCGAGTCCTTCTGAAAATAAAACGCCTTCCCCATTCAGTAACAACCAACATCCTCGTACGCCAACTGACGAGCTTGCTGTATGTGAAAGAGTGACATTAAAGGCTGAATATAAGAGGAACAAACTCCATACATATCAGAATGTATTTACGGACTCGTAAGATTCGTGGTACAGCAAGGTTAAGTAGAAGAATATTACCTCGCATACACAGAGTACCAGAGCCATTGTGTGCTCTGACCTATTGATACCCAATCACCCGGGAGTTCAGCTGTAGTTTGTTCTCCACCCAAATTGCCCGAAGTGTTTGTACCTTCAATCATTGAGCCATCAAAAACTCAGTCAGAGAAAGCTTTTCAATTTTCAGTGTAGTTCCAAATCTATCCATTTAATGTATTTTACGAATGTATCATATTGAATAAAGCAAAGCACAAATGTCTTGCCCATCGTAGTTACTATATGAATTATGGTCTAAGTTGTATTCTACAATATTTTATGCTGTAAATAGCGAATGTATGGGCTAGAGGAGGACTAAACACCTCTCCCATAGCTTGTACACGAGGGGCGGTTTGAAAACAAAATTTAAATAAACTTGTCACCTGTACTACACTAAAGGAGAAAAGTTTTCTTTACCCGAATGTACAGAATCGATGCCTTCCTGTTCCTTGGAACCTTAATGGACCTTTGGGATGCCTTTCGCAAGAGGAAGCGCTCCTTGCCTGAGGAATAGCCATCTTCCGCACTCTTGGGGAGATTTTCTTTTTTCAATAGCCGTTAATTCTTCCTTTCTCCTCGAACTAGAACTAGGAGATATGCATGCTATTACTAATTCATAGGGCATGGAATAAGATATTACCAAACCTCCACGCGATTAAAACAGTCCGCAAGATAAGCACCTTGTTAAGCAGCCACAAAAAATTAGAACACACGAGGATTAGATGAAGATAATGAAGACCCCGATTACCAGAGCATCCCAATTTAGGATGTACCATTTTACATGTGATGTTGCCAGAAGATTTTTTATATGTGTATCAACTTCAGAGAGCGATGACTTAAACTTCTCAATACCCAATTCATCATTCTCTTTTGAATTCTTGAGATGATGAACAAAATGTTTCAACAGTTTTTTCTTCAAATAAATTTCTACTCGGGGATACCTTTCACATATTTCATTAATGAGTTCCTCAAAATCTTCGACTTTTAAGGTATCAGAGTTATTATTGTCTGTGTTGAAAACGAAGATGATATTAGATTGCTTTGATACCAATTTGTTGAAGAAAAATATTATATTATAGGTACAATATGAAATAATTGATTATAACAACAAATTAATTTGTAGAGTAAATGAGATTTCATTAAAATATAAAGAAAGAATACAAAAATTTTGTATTTATAAATTTGTCTAATTTAATCTAAAATATAATGAAAACCCTAAAAGTAGAGTTATAAATGGAAAGAAATAATCAAACGCGAAAACGGGCTTGGGC